CTCCCCTCCCCTCAATCCCAGCAGCAGGCTAGGCCCCTCCCCTCCCCTCAATCCCAGCAGCAGGCTAGGCCCCTCCCCTCCCCTCAATCCCAGCAGCACAGGCTGGCCCCTTCACTTGTTTTCTGCTTGGTATTTTGTCAAAGCAACAAGAAAAGTAACTAACGCAATGAGATTCAGGGTAATTTAGACTAGGTAAGTAATCACATTACTTCTCGATCGAAAGTGTCATGAAATAAACAAAATATCCCATACCATTAGCAAATCATCGCATTCTTTCAGAGGTATCTATCCCAAGTCACATCATTTTCAGGAGAGAACCCTTTCGCATTTTAAACTCCAATAAGAGCCACCTACTTTGAGGTCTCTTCTATCTTGCACCCAAGCAGTAAAAATCATGTCCTGTTATCCCAGTGGGGTTCTGCTTAGGCTCTTGTTAGTAAAGTCACATATTTACAAGCCTGACCATCTAGAATGACCTTTAAACATAGCAAGCTACCCAAACACAAGAACCCTCTCAAAAATCTCAAATGGGAGCTACTAACCCTGAAGTATGCACTTAGGATCATAAAACTTTAAAGGGAGCCAGGTCCTTTTAAGCCACTTAGGAATGTCCCTTATATATGAAATGAAGTGATCAGATTCTGAGAAGTGGCTTGTCTTAATTTATTGACAGATTTGGGACAGTCCAAGTCCCTGACTCCCATCCTTAATTTCCCCATGAGGATACTTTCAAAGTGTGAGACTGAAAAAGTAAGTGACTTAACCTCTGCAAATCTGGTTTATTCTCCTAGGAGAATAAAATAAGATCACCTCCTAAGTTTCTTCTGTTTCTAAAATCTGGTGAATGCAATTTCCATAATGCAGAATACCAAATGTCCCCCCACATTGTATGAGGATGCAAAGCTGCTTCCGTCTTCGATTTAAGAACAAAATTGTGGGGGTGGGGGAGTGTGAGCATGAAGGCTAAGAACAAGAGAAGCCAGGGTAGAGGTTCATAAGCTGTGTAGGGGGAACCCTCTCCCTTCCCAGCTTCGTATCGCCCCATCCCAGGAAACCACAGAGGGTGGAATATAAATTTCCCATAGCTAGCTAGCTCTCTTAGGTTTCAACTCTCACCTGCTGAAATGCTGGCAGAAGGGCAGTAATGCTCGATATGGTTGGGTGCCCTAGGGTCATGCTCTAGAAGCCTGGCACCCAATGTGACAGTATTAAAAGGTGATGGGCCTTTAAGAGGTAGGGCCTAGTAGCAGGTGACTGAATCAGGGCTGCCCTCGAGAAGAGAACAATACTCCTCTGCTGTGGTGGGTTATTTCTGCAAGAATACATTCATTCATTCTCACAAAAGAGGGTTATTACAAAGGAGCTGGTCCCTTCCTTCTTTCCCATTTCCCCTCTTCACCTATGACCTCTAACTCTCACACAAACCTCTGCCTCCTGACGCTATCCTCCGTGTTGTTATCATGCTTAAAAACATGGCTTGCCACTTCTTTCTACTCCAGCCAGGGCGGTGATCAGGTAAAGGCCTCTTTTGCAGGAGTAGACATGGAGTTCAGGAAGCCAGTGGTCGCAACTTTTACATCCTCTTGGATGCTGGGGTGTGCCTTTCTAATCTGACATGTCAAGTGATGACACTTTGGAAGGCTCATTCAAGCCAGTCCTGTAGCTTGTCACGGCCATTTCTTGTACTCTTGTATTTTGTTACAAGGGATAAAAGGCTGGAGGATGGGAGTCTTAGGTGACCCTGTTAAGCGACTGATAATGATTTGCTAAAGCTAAGGGATAATGATTTGCTACAGCTAAATGAGTTTCTTATCTTTTGGTGGGTGTTGTTTGTTTGGTTTGGGGTTTGGAGGCAGAGTAGCCTGTAACACAGGAAGTCCACAGACTGATTATGTAGCCAAAGTTGACCCGGACCAGTTGATCCTCTTGCCTCCTCCTCCCAAAGTGCTAGGGATTCCAAGTGTACACCATCACACCCAGTGGGTATTATCCTGTAAGAGAGAACTGATCTTGATGGCAACTCAAATGCAGAATTAAATATATTTGTTAGTGCTAAGACATATCTCCTACACCCTTCTTGGTCTCATTAAAGCCTAAGTGTCAAGATTATTTCATGCAATCCAAAGCTTTCCTAAATATTTGCAGTCCGGGAAGAGAACCATTGCTCTTATATCTATGAACCAATCAAATTGAATTTTTGACTTAAAAATGTCAAAACTCTTGACCATGGGAAACATCATGTCTTTTGTGAGGAATCTTCTTTTAAAGTGTTTCCATTAAAATATTTCAATAGGGTTGAAAAGGAAGCAAGGGTGGGGGAGGGGGTGGGCAGAGACAGCAAAGCAGCCAGTGGACTCTGATTGAAAACAGAGTCCACTTCCTCGCCCCTGGGATGTGAATTCTGAACACCCTGGTTGCTGGGCCGTTCAGTCTTTTTAACAAATAGATGCTGCTTCTCCAGGTTTAATGTCCAAGAACAGAGCAGGATTGTGAGGCAAATCAAGCCCTGGGATCACTCCCCGGGTCGTTAAACTTGAGAAGGGCAGTAAAGCAGACGCAGGAAGGGCAAGGCAGAGTAACTGTGCCAGCCACACACACCCCAGTCCTCACAGGAACATCCATGTGCTTTACGTTTTCTTGTGACTGGAGAAACTTTGGAGCCTGGGACCTACAGAGAAAGGCTGGGTTGGGGGTGCTTTGGGAGCTAGCATTTGGTGAGATAAAAGAAAAGCAGGTTTAAAACAGTGTCCTCTCCACCTGCAAACATCTGTGTGTGCCACCTTACCTTTTTAAGCAACAGGTATGGAGTGAGTGATGTTTTGAATTTCTGTGTGTGACATTTTAGGGAGGGGCAGTTATTTTTGTTTCTTACTATAGAGTAAAAACATTTACACAATAATGTGGCTACTACTGAACCAGACACTTAAAGATGATCGAAAAGGGTAACTTTTACAACATGTGGGATAGTTAAAAATAATAATAAAAATAATAATAATAAATAAATAAATAAAAAAGTGGCCTCTCAAGCAGCTTGTGGTCCTTGTTTGCCCCTTATTCTATCCAGTATCTGTTGGGGGAGGGGAGAGCAGGTAGCCTTCCTCTAGCGGGCATGCACATCCCAGAAAACAATAGCTCCTACCAACACCTGGCTCTGCACTAATGGCCACAGCCTTCTTGGTTCTGGCTGTCTTCTGGGGAAGTAGGGTCGGGTATTAACAAAGGCTAGATAGTGAAGGGAAAGGGGACCATCACTGTTCTTCCAGCCACCCAACTCCTCCAGATTTCCTCAGATGACTGTGACAAAGAAGGTCCTAGAAGATAGACATTGACATGATGCCACCCAACCAGAAATGTCCCCAGGTGAACAGGGAGCCCTTGAGCTCTCCATGGGACAGACATGGGTAGACTGTGGCAGAGGGCCCAAGGCAAAGCTCTCCTTTCATATTAATAAGTCATAACTACATTATTGCTCCCGCCTTTTTTGCTAGTTTGTAAATGACTGAAGAAATCCACAAAAAATGCATCCTGTGTAATGATTCCCTGCTGATTTTAAGCTACCCACAAGCCACAATCTTTATTGTCTCTGGGCCATCAGTTAATACACTCAGCATGTTATGGAGTACCCTCTAACTCACTGGCGCAGCTACCATTCAGTAGCCCATAGTACATCAATGGTCACTTACAGAAAACTTAGAGAGTTGGCCCCTATAACCTGGTAGGGATAAATACATAAAAACAGACCTATGGGAGGCCCCATTTCTAACAGCCATAAAGCAACAGCTTACACACTTTTTCACGCCTCTTCCTTAAGAGAGTCCTCGGGAAGAAACGGATGCTGCACAAGAGGAACCCTCTGAATGGATGCTAAGGAAAGATAAAAGAACTCGCCTGTTTCAGAGCGCTCTAAGCCAAGAAGAGTAGGGCTGAACACCCGGTAGTGAGACTGAAATATGGCTACAAGGTGCATTCCTACCTCTTGGTACAGCTGCCTTCCTCCTCCCCAGCGATACCTCCCACTCCGAGCAAGCCCCACAAACAACAAAGCCTAAGGTGGCCACTCTCCAACTCACAGCAATCCCACTCCCCGTGAGTCCCCAGGGGACGCAAAGGGGACTTTTTTTTTTTTTTTTTAATCAGTGTTGGCGCAATGCAAAACGTTTTAGAAGTTTAGGCTTGTAGACATAGCTGAGTTTCTTGGGCGTGACCCACTTTAATCGGGTCATTCAAAACCTCCCTTTCAACGCCCGATTCTACTAATAAAAGAACTCCCCCAGTCACCCAAGAGGAGGAATGAGAGGTGTGTGAGGTGAACGCCTGCCCATCAATACCAGGGCGCCGAAGACTGAACTGTTTGCTGAGAGGAACAACCGTCACTTTCAATTTCTTTTCCTTTTTAAGCAACTTCCGGAGAACAAGCCATTTAAAATAAAAATCACAACCTAGGTGGATTTCAAACAAAACGACACATCTTTCAGAAAAGAACCAGTGAAACTTGAAAGGGCCTTACTCACGTACCAATCCGGAAGCCGCTAGAAAACAATTAAGCCGGGTTTCAAAATGACCAGGACAGGATGTGCCCATAGAAAGAAATGTTGCCTGCACTGAGAAGCTGCCAAAGTTAACGCTACAAAGTACTCTGAACTTTCAAAAGGTGCCCTAGGGTCACTCTGACCCCCTCCTCCCAGCTGGTAGCCTTACAAGCACTGGTGATATTTGGCGGGAGGGGGGAGTCGGGAGATGCGAGGAAGAGGAGCAGGGGAGGAGCCTGCCTGAGCACTTGGTCACAGACAGCATCAAGGTTTCGGTTCCCTCCATGCAGGGGACAAAAAAGGTGGCACTAACATCCTTTCTCTTCTCCCTTCCCCCAGCGGCGCACCTCTAGAGACCCGGCAGCAACGCCCTTGGGTGCCAGGACGCGCCTTTTCCTCAGCAAGGGACCGCAGGGGCTTGCTGGAGGTGGAGGGCTACGCGAAACCCTAGGGACCCAAGGTGGAACCTACCAGGGAGGTGGCGCGCTCAGAGCTCGGGGCTGGGCTGGGGCGCACAGGTGCTCCCGGGCACCCTGAAGATGGCCTGGGCGGCCCGGGCGTCCATAGTCTTCACTGGCGTGGGGACCGCTCCACAATCTAGCCCTGCTTCTCCTGCGGGCTGAAGATACGGCGGGTCCCGCGGCGGCTTGCAGCAACAGGCACCGCGGTGTGGCCGGCGGCGGCGGCGACAACAGCCGAGAAGGAGGTGTCTGCGCGCTGCTCGCGTTTCCTCCTCTCCCGCTGGGCGAGCGCGGGGGAGGCGGAGGCGGGGGGCAGCAGCCGGGATCTCCTCAGTGGGCTCCCCGCGAGCCAAGAACAGGACGCAGTGCCCTCCCTTCTCCTCCGCGCCGTGCAACTCTGGCCCGGCGGCTCGGCCCAGACTGGCGAGTCACAGGCGAGCAACAGCTGCTGCAGTGCGGGTCCTCCGCGGCCTCCCTCCCGTCGCTCTCCAGCGGTCCATCCTCAGCCCGCCCAGGGGCAACTAGGCGCCACCCCACGAGACCTCCGGGAAGGTGCATGGATTGCCGCCCCATCCAGCCTCAACGCGAAGTCCTGGCCGGGGGTTATTTCCCTTGTGCTGGAGACGCGGGCCCACGCGTGACTGTGGCCCTCGCGGCAGGATGTGCGGTCGCACACCGTGTTCTTGGTGGCCTATTTATAGCAGGTGGCTCTGCCCTTGGCTGATTTGGCCAGAGAGGCTCTCAGCAGGTGGTACTGGAGCTTGCTCTCCGGCAAGAACCCAGGTCCTCTTCACGCACTCCTCCAAAACGAACCACTGCGCAGCACACCCGCAGGCCACCCAACCACCAGCCCTCCGCATCAGCCTTCTTCCTGCACTGGGGTCGAGTGGCAGGAGGGAGGAAACCGGGCACCAAAGCAGGATGGGACGCTGGCACTCCAAGCAGGAAAATCGGGGACTCAGGAAAACACCGGAGCTGAAGTGCCCTCCGCGGATTAAACACCACTAAACCCATCTTTGACCAGGTGCGGGAGTGACGCAGAGCCCAGACTGCGCGCTTTTTTTCATTCCCTGCGCGCCGAGCACACACACACGCGTGCTTGTGTGTACACGCCAGAGAGCCACCAAAAGCCCCCAAAGCAGGTTAAAGAGGCAGTTTGACTTAGATGGAAAAGTGATCCCTGCGAGCTTGGGTTCTATCTAGAATACTCCATAGCTGTCTTGTGGGGGTAGCTTATTCCTTATTACAGCATAGTTGGCCTCCATAGTTTCAGATTTTAAAAAACACAGAGTTCAGGAATAGATACAGCCACGAACAGTCTAAAGAGTAGAATGCTGATGGGTTTGTGGAAATTGTTCTGCAGAATGGAATCACATTGCTAAGTTGTCCTTCCCTCTCTGTGGCCTACAGATCACAGCTATCTCCAAATGGTCACTAGGTCAAGACAGGTGACTGGTCAGCCATTTCAAGGCCATCTCGGGGCTACATTGCCTGCCGATCCCCACCATGGGAGAAGGGAGAGAGGATTTGCTGGACCATACTTACAGGGCCTCCACCCCCTTCCCTTTTCTTGTCTTCACTCCTCCACCCCCTCCCTCCAAAAATTCTGGTCCTACAGTGTAGCAGGCTTGTAGCAGCCAGGTAGAGACCAGGTGGTAAAGGCAGGCAGTAGTTGGGTAGAGGAGTGGGGTAGTGGAGGGGCCAAGGCCCTAATCTTGACATTGGGAGGTGGAAGAACCATTCATCCCCCATAAGTGCTAGAAATTTACCTCCATGAATTCCTGCTCAGAGATGTAGAATGCAGAAGCAAGCCTCCTCGATAACCCTGATCTGGGTTAGGGAAGGGGTGGTGGCCTTGTGACAAGCACTTATTTCTGCATTACCTTTCTAGTTGCCAGGGATATTTCGCGTCCCGAAATGATAGTGAGAAATCGTATAGGCCTCTATAAAGCACAATCCATTCATAGCACAACACACAATAAAGAGTTCTGGTCGTTTTGTCTTTTTAAACCCTTAACTGACTTATTCTAGACATCAGGAGTCAGCTTGCATACTTAGTCCTTTCATTACAAACAGAGTGAAAACTCTAGAGCAATGTGGACATGTGGGGCTTGCAGGAGTGTGCAGATGCCTACAGGGGGCTCCTGGATGGTGTAAGTGACTGTTTGGTGGCTTGGAGGATAAAACTTCCACCTAGAAGAAATCAGCCATGCGTGCCACGCTCTTGGTTGTTTTTGGACATCTATGCACTCGCCTCCCTGCCCCATAAGCCTCCTACAGTCCTCCAATACAGCATTCTTTTAGGGCTCCCTCTAGAGAGTCCTTCTATGCTCCAAATTTAGTCATTCCCAGTATAATTAATTATTTATTGCCAAATACTAGCAGTATTAATACCAGTTCCAAGATAGCTGCAAGCTCGGGGGGGGGGGGCAGTCATTCCAGTGGGAAGCCCAGAGACAAAGGAAACAGAAACCGCTTTGCTTTTAAAATGTTAAAGAAGCCGCGTGTGAATCCAGTACTAAAAGTCTTTGATTAATGTAGAAAAGAGACCTTTTAAGTGGCCAGGGACCTAGGGATGTGGCTCATTTGGAAGAGAGCTTGCCTAGGCCGCACAACAGTCTGGGTTTGGCACCCACGCACACCGAGCATGGCTGGGCATGACTGTTACCTAGCATTTCAATGGCAGAGGCAGGAAGACTGTGAGTTTGAGGGAAGCCTGGCCTATGTGAGACTCTGTCCCCAAAATGGTAATAATTACAATGAAGCATAACTAGAAGATTTTTATTTGCTGGGGTGGCAGGCGTACACTATACCTGGCTGTTACTAGATCTATTATCTAGGTATTTGAATGATCATTTCCCCCAAGGAAACCAAACTCTAACTGCTGCCACACTTTTACATAATTTCAAAATATATACATTGAGGGCAGGGTTCTCAATCCGTGGTCCCTTTCGAAAACTGGTACCAACAAAGGCGGATGTTAAGATGACAATGGATGGAATCCTAGGACGACAAAGTGGTTCACCAGGTCTTACGGTGGTGGAGAACGGGCTCCTGAGCAAGTCCACCGTCAGTGGGAAAGCATCCATGACCGGAAGGAGGTGTCCTTCCAACACCATGCCACCTGAATTGCCACCCTGTCAATCCTAGCTTAAAGTATCACTTCTGAAGAGGAAACCGGGTCACACCAAAGCATCAGTCATGGACAAGAGGGACTCTTCACGTCAAGTGAGCTACACACACTGACTTGTCTCCTCCACGACAGGTCCTTGAATTTGCTTTCTGAGAGGCCCCGGCAATGGCAAAATGTAATGCTGTGAAAAGTTAAAGTGAGCGTCCAACCAAGGCGGATTTTGAGTTTCAGCAGCTCGAGGACACAGAAGTCTGACTGCACGGAGAACTCGTGTTTGCCGTTGATATGTGACGACATAAATCTATGCGGAGTGAAAACAGACAGGATGTATGCTCCAGCCCCGGTGCAGGCTTCTGTGAAGTGCTTGTCTCCTTTTATGGATGAAGCAGATAAAACTCTGAGTGCTGGCTGCATTCCCCTTTCTGGCAGATTCTCCTGTCTGTCATGGCTCCCCTCAGACTCTCATCCCATCCCGGCTCTCTGCTGAGACCCACCCTGCGTGTACGTTCCCATCGGAGCAGGGCGCGCAACCCTTCACCATGAATTCTGAACTCAGCTAAGCTCAACAGGGATCTCTTCCTATGTTCTCAGAGCTGATCAAGTGACTTCACCCAAAGTGAGTGAGCTGAGTACCGAGTAAGCGTCCCACCCTGCAGGGCCTGTCCTACCCTGTTAGCCTGCACGATGCTCGGAAATCTCAGCTGGAGTGCAGTTGCCCTCACTATCGTAGTCTATTTTCAACATAGGTGCTAAAGTGTCTGCTAAAGTACCAGTTGGGTCTCTTGAACCTGCCCAATGGCTCCCCAGACTGAGTAGGAGTCAAATAATAATTTAATAATGCCATTATAATTATTAACAATTAATAGCTACTAAGATAATTATAGACGTGATAATGTTATAATTATTACAGTGATTTTCCCCTTCCATGTCCAACTACCTCTCCAGTATTTCATCACCTGCTCCCAGGCCTTCCTGACTCTGCTCCTGCAACCCTGGCCTTGTTACTTGAAGATACAGTCATGCTCCTGCACCAACCAGGGCCTTTTCCGTCTGCCTAGGGTGCCCTGCCCTCAGATATCGATTGCCCTTTACTTACTGCATTTCTTCAGGGTTTCAGAGGGAAACCTTTGGGATCAATGTTTTGAAAATAGAGTTGTTGTTGCACACACACATACATGTACAACTTCTTTATTGCTCTTCATTTCCCCATAGCTCCTGTTTCTATGCACTTCTGTGTTGTGTTGGTGAAGTGTATACCTCATCCATCATCTCTCTTTCCCCGGAAGCAGAGGAGTTTGGTTCCGTTACTGCCGTTTTCGATGCATAGACTAGATGTCAGTAAGTAGTGGACATTCAGTAGCTCTGTGCTGAAAGAGAGAATGAATAAAAGTAATTTATGACGGGTCCTGAGCGATAGCAAGGCAGTTAAAAACACACTGTGCTCTGCTGGGGGAGTCTGATTCACAACCTCCTGTAACTCCAACTCCAGCGGACCCAGGCACCTGTACACACTCGGAGATACCCACAAATACACATCATTTAAAGCAATGGAAAGGTAATCATTGGAAAACTATGATAGATAGTTTTAGAGAGTTTGCTGAGGCTTCCTAGAGTCAGCTGGATTCCCAGCTGTGCTGAGAGGTTTCTCTGCCCCAGGCGAGCTGAACGTTTAACTATTAACACAGAACCTGCTTTCCAGATATACGGAATAGTCACTGAGCCCTCTCCTGGAAGCAAGCTTTGCCAAAGGTTTGTTTGACAAAAATATGCTCTCACAGACCCACACAGCCTGGCTCCCTATGTTAGAAACGAGCAATAAATAATCTTAGTATCGCACAAAGGAAGATCCAAACAAAAGTTGCTCAGCAACTCTTTTGTAAAAAGAAAATGAGATACAAACAGGGCCTGTGAGCGCTCAGGGGCCAAGATGACTCCCCATCTTTTACCCCTGACTTAGGTGGTGTCTGTGTCTCATCTCATTGGTGGGAGGTGGATTTCACAATCTGACACAATGGGCCAATCAGTGCAGAGGGAGGGGAAAGCTCAGGAAATGTGATTCCTTGCAGGACTACCTACCTTTGATTGGGGGTGGGGGTGGAAATCCTCATACCAAGAACATGTATCCCATAGTTCCTTATTGCATTAGTTCAAGTGAAGAGGGCTTACCCCAACTCTATCTAGTTTTCTTTTGTCAAAAACTGTTCTGTCGGGAGATTAGGGTTTGTACAAACTCCCCAGTTCATCTTGGGATACTATTGTTGTCGTTTAACACTTTGCACAATGTCCTGTGAGAAAAGAAAGTGTCTCTTAGCATCCTTCCAGGAAGACTGTTTGAGCAACTGCTGGAGCATCTCCATGCTCACACTGCCAGGTGAACTCAAGGCAGATTCACACTGCCAGGTGAACACAAGGCAGATTTGGGGCTCATTGTTTGGTATGAATCCAGGTTGTCTTAGTCAGGGTTTCTATACATCATGGCCAAAAAAGCATATCAGGGAGGAAAGAATTTATTCAGCTTAGACATCCACATCACTTTATTCATCATCAAAAGAAGTCAGGTCAGGAACTCGAGCAGGGAAGGAACCTGGAGACAGGAGCTGATGCGCAGCCCATGGGGGCGGGGGAGGCCAGTGCTGCTTACTGACTTGCTTCCCATGGCTTGCTCAGCCTGCTTT